TGACCACGATTGGAGCTCCAATCGCTTTGATCAGGACAACATGACAGCCTGAATGTTATTTGATTAAACCTCAAACTAGAGCATGAAACGTACTGTGATGTCCTGTGGGTTTGGCCTTGAAAACAACACAGTGTCATCCAGCAGTGAGCGTGCTTTCAGTGTGTTTACCTCAGCAGCGGTGATGTTCGCCCTCCAGTGGCCCAGGTTCTCACACCACCAGTCAGTCCTGGTGATGTGCTGCTGGAGTTCACTGTGCTCCTTCTCCATGGCTCCAATCTCCTCCTTTAGTTTGCTCACTATCTACACATACACACAAAGAGAATGGGTTTGATGAAGCGACCGTGTTGGTTGTTTAGAGGGTTTGCAGATCCTTGCTTACCTTCTTGTCTGGCTTTGGTGCATTCTGGATAGAGCCCAGGGCCTGGCGCTTGTATTCCAGTTTGTCATAAAGCTGCCGTAGTTTGGTAGCAGCATAGCTGGCTTGCTCATTGATTCCTTTAGTGCCTTCATCACACACCTCTCCTGCATCCAGCCCCTGACACTGAAACAGAGAAAACAGGAAGGGGGCAAAGATCTTTAATCATTTACACACCAACAAAGAACTGAAACCAACAGAAAGCATCCACATGATGTATAAGGGATACATCGAACAGGAGAGAGACTGACCCCTTCGCCTTTCTCCTCTGGGCTGCACTGTGATTGGCTGCGGGGCTCATCTCGTCTGATCAGCCTTTCATAGAGGTCAGACACCAGGAAGGAGGGGTAGTAGCGCTCCCTCATCGTCTCGGCCACCTGGAGAACATTAAAACGAGCTTTATGTGACTGAAGAACAGATGAAAACCATCAAATGGGTCATTAAAAAAAAAAACAACAAAGAAAAAGCTATGAATGAGAAGCTATATATATATATATATTAAGGGTGTGCAAAATAATCGTCAAATCGATGCATCGTGATTCTAATTTTTGTGATCTATTGAATCGATTCTTGAAGGCAAGAATCGATTATAAAAAATAAAAAAAATGAACAAATAAAAT